TCACGTAAATTATGCAGGTAGGCTGAACAAAAAACTTTCTATAACTCGATTTACCTGAATAAAAATAACGCTTGCATATTTTCAACCGACTTCAAAAAAGGGGAGGCTCCCAATTATTTACCTTTTCTAAGCAAATTAGCTCAGCAATCCATTATTTATGAACCGATTTTGTAAATTCTATTTTCAAAACCGGGTTCATAAAAAAAGTAGGTTCGATTGTCGATTGTTCGATTGAAAGATGGGCCTACATGGGTAGGCCCATCTTTATTTCATTGGTATTGTACCTTGGAGTCCAGAGATACAAGTATTTAAAATCATATAGATAAAGTATAGTGAGATAATTTCTGTTTTCTTTTTTGTAATTAATAATATAATATATATTTAATTTTACGTTACATACAAACGTGTACGAAAATATATACTGATAACGTTAATTTAGCTGACGTCAGTAGAAATCAATACACGCTTTGTTTGCAATAAAATCAATGCGCGCGTATTTTATTAATTACAATACAACATCGCCATTATCTACGGTGATAATCCAATTAATAATTAAAATTTAAATGGTGCCATATGCATAACTAAAGTGTACGGTATATAACGATATAAATTAAATCTATCAGTCAGTTGTAGAAAATACCTTTTTGTTCTGACTTAGCAACCAAAATATTAAATGGGCTCTCTAAAATCTCTAGGCGCTTTCCAAAGTCCGTTTCTGATAGACCCCAGACCGACCTTTGGGCATACCGCAAGCAGCTTAAGCCTTCCTTCACTTTAAGTCTCGGTCATGTTTTTACGTAATGTATTTGTTGTATAAAATCCCCGAGAGACCTGTAGGGACTTATTGCTATTTTATTGTTTTCTAAAACTATAGTAATCATTACACATGAAAATATTTAATGTTCGCATTAAACCAATCACTTAAATAAATCATATCTTACATTTTAAACAATAATAGAAATTGGGGAAAAGCCAAATAAATGATGCATAATATACGTACACAATTAGTATCATTATTTAATCTAGTCATTACAAATACGATACCACATTGAGGGATATATTATGATTATTATGTTTCATCTACTCAAAAAAGAGTAGAATGGACTGATGTTGCTAATGACGGAGATACGCCGTGGAATGATATAAAGCTACGGAGGCGGCGAACTGAAAAATAGTATTTCAATAAACACAGCCTGCGCGATCATCGGGAAAATTGACCGATTCCGGGAAATCCGCGCAGGAAAATGTCACACAATATCGCTTTTTTTTTTCTCCTCCATCCCAGCGGCGGCAAAGCCAAAATTTAATATTTATGGATGAATTGTGAGACGGAGCGAATGATTTAAAGTGTCTGATGTGGAAATAGCTCCTCGCAGATTTTCTGACCCGACGAAAGTAACGTCCCTCTGTACGTTTCACGTGCCACTTGTTCCCTTTCGCGAGGAGAGAAAATATCGCCACGCACCCCAAAGGTGGGCGAACGTGTCCCGCGATTTATTCCGCCCTTTCGCGAGTCGGTCGGGAAAAAAGTATTTTTTTTATTTGTTTACTCACGGAGATTTGGCTCTTTTGATGTAGATTGTAAGAGATTCGCATTGTCGGATAGACAACGCAGACCTCGCGTGTTTTCTTCCTCTCCGTCCTTTAGTTAGCGGTTTGCTAATAGATATAACATGAAAGTCTTCCATAAATATTTTGTTACGTGTAAAGCGGGCGGGATATTTGTTCTATATTTATTTTTACTCCCTTTGTCTAAATCAAATTTCTTTCACAGTAATGGCTTGGATGTTTACTTACATTTATTTTAACGGGTATTATCTTTTATTTTGGTACACAGTGTTCTTTAAAAACACACAAAACAAACGGTTGGTTTGATCTGCCCACCGGCACAATTTATACATTCAGTGCTATAAAGTGTATACATCTATTCGATTTTTATTTAATGGTTTTAGGTTCAATTATGTATGCAGATGTTTAAAGGTGGCAGAAACAAAAAGAGTGCAAGGACCGTTACCAACGAAAGTATTCCGTATTTTTCGATATTAATAATCAAACACTGTTAATACCGCACTCAGAGACCACAATGAATGGTAATATTAAACCATTTAATTCTACCATTAATTATAGTCCACCTTAATAATTATCATGACTTCGGTTACAATAGTTAAATACAAAAATTGTCCTTATTTACTTATTAATTCTTTCATATATTTTATTCAATGCACCAAAAGGAATAAATAAAATCATTCATGATATTGTGACTTTCCTTTGTGTTTTTTTTCCATTGTTTTAATTACCGACTGAACCAATTGAGAGATGATGTTCAGTAGGGCTAATTAAACGAAGGTTTCCAAGTGCGACCCTTAATTTTGATCGCAGAAAAATCACTGTGACCGCGCGCTCTCTTCACCTCGATAGAAAGTGAAGTGTCATATAAAGCTACATTATATTCGGAGCGCCGGCTCGGGCCGGCGTAATCAAAAGGCTCTCCGGGGAACAATGGCGCCCACATCGGGGCCGGGACCGATAAGCCCCGACAATTATACTACATCGACTTTTCAATTATCCAACCGACTCCACCCGCGAACAATGCAAGCTTTGCCCGTGTATATTACCCGTGGTCATTTTGTTAGCCGTTTAGAAGCGAGTCCCTCATCGCTCGATTTTGTGCGGACAACACGAGTGAGCGCCACCCGTGAAGTTTAACGTTAATGTTCGGGAGTTTACTGTGGCTACGCCTGTAACAGAAGCCTGTTCTTCTGTTGCACGACTGGACAGGTCCGTCCGGGGAAGCACCACGACCTCACAGAAGACCGGCGTGAGGTGGAAGTTTTACACTTCTGCGTTTCGTCTGACGAGTGAAGTAAGATGGATCAAAAGCTCGCTTGTCATCTTCTTACATTTAAAAAATTTCACACCGACCCGTCAACATTTTTGCAAGCTATCGCCTCTGCTTCTATTTGCATTGATATATTAAACTTACCCCATTATTTACGAGACATGGACTGCGCGATCTGACTAAAGTTTCAAACTTGACACATTATTTTCCATTACCGAATCGGGTAAAATGATACGTATCAAAATTAGTATTTATCGCATGTTTATCGCGATGTGTAAAAAGCATTTAGGAGTGAAGTTTGATTGTTGGTTGATCATATACCTGAAAAGTTAAGATAGAATTACCTATATAAACAAAACTATAGAAGTCTTCCATTATGCGCGCATAATGTATGTAATGTAATTATTTATTATAGTTATACTAGCTGCTGCCCGCGACTACGTCTGCGTAGAGGAGTGAAAATTTAGGGTTGTATGTATTTTTTATGCTGTATCATAAAAATAACAACAAAAAATTAATAAAAAAAAAATTTGGGGTGGACCACCCTTAACATTTAAGGGGATGAAAAATAAATGCTGTCCGATTCTCCACCCTGGCCGATATGCACACAAAATTTCATGAAAATCGGTCGAGCCGTTTCAGAGGAGTTCAATAACAAACACCGTGACACGAGAATTTTATATATTAGATATTATTCAAATAATTCTTTTAAGTTTTATTTATTTAACACTTGGCTCTTAAAGAATAAAATTATTGTGATATCTTCATTTAATTTAAAGTTATTAAGGTTTTAAGAAACAAGGATTTTTATAAGCTTCTATATCTGTCTCAACTCTATTCATAATATTTATATGTTTTTGCTACTAATCTTTTTGATGCTTTTTTTCTCTTCACATAAAATATATTGTTAATATAATAAGCAAGGCCGACGCGGTTATAAGCCAATATCTAATAAGTAAAGATCCAATAGGTTTATGTTATATTCATATGTTTCGTGAAGAGTAAACGATTTGAGTAAATGAGGCACCGTTAAAGTTGTGGTCTGGCGGATAACAGAGGGCCGTATAAATACAATTTGGCGAATGTCCCAAGATGACGGATTGGTTCTTTCGGGCGCCCCCTTGATTGATGCTGAAAGAGATTGACGGGTGTAATGCAAAATTCACGTTTGTTCTTTTGTTTTGATGTATATATTTATAATGTAGCCATTGACAAGCTCATAAGTAAAGTAACAGCCTATACATATTTCACTGCTAGGCAAAGGCCTCCTCCGTACAGAGGGTGTTAAGGCATAATCAACCACGGGGCCGCCCACTATGGATTGGCGGACTTCACATATCTTCGTTTTTTTTTTTTGTTATGCTCACGATGTATTCCTTCATCGCTGAGTACGTGATAAGTCAGCGCCTAAATTAGCAAAATTTCACTGGTGCCGACACCGGCAATCGAACGCAGGTTGCTGTAGTATTTTTAATTCAAAACGAGCGCCCGGACATTTAGCTATCACGGCTCTACAAACCCATTAATGTTTCGCTAACTCCCTCGATATTAGAATACTTCTTTCGTATTAATATATTTGCCACTTGGGAAGGCCGCGATGACAAAACTTTCCATGGCGTTATTTCGCGTTTTTATTTTCATTGGAGTCGCTGTGCATAATTTTATCAGACAGAAGAACACGCACTAAAGTGTTTTATACGACAAGGAGACAAAGGAGTAAACGACATTTCAGGATAAATGTTCACACCTCCTAAGGATATCAGCAACAACAAAACTTGTACCAAAGACAAAGTAACTTTTTAAATGATGAACTTTTCGCTTCCTCATTAACGGGAGGGTTTGTGAGAACGTAGATATTTTGTGGAATTGACAAACGTGTGGATTGTTACTTTCATCATTACTTCAGCCTCTTCTAGTCCACTAATTAATAGCTAGATCTACTTCGACTAGATTGAGTTAATTTAAAGTATATTAAACTAGTTGAAAGTCCCACCACTGTAAAGATATTGTCTGATGAACATAGTAGTTTTCGAATGTCTGGGTTTTCCAAAGAGTACGATGTTTGTGTTTATCAGTTACCTAGTACCCACGCTACAAGTTTTCCTTAGTTTGGGACTGGATAACGTTGTGTAACAACACTTAATCGGAATCCTTGTCTCAGGTGAAGTTGGAGCAGAATGTCGGGAAGCCCTCGCGCGTCATCCACATACGGAACATACCAAACGAGACGACCGAAGCGGAGGTCATCCAACTGGGCCTCCCTTTCGGCCGGGTCACCAACGTGCTGGTTCTCAAGGGCAAAAATCAGGTAACTGTCATGTTTTTTTGTTATTTATTAATTTCTTCAGTTTATTTTTAATATTTATCAATGTCTTTTTTTTGTGTAAAGAAACTTGCGAACACATTTTTTTATTTTTTTGTATCAGTTTCATAGTTAAATTGTCCCAGTTATTACGCCCCAGGACACTAGCAAATTGAACTAAGCCGTCGGGCAGTAATAGTCGTGTTGGCGACTTTAATTTTTCAAATAAAATCACATTGTATATAAATTACGAAAACCTGTACCTTCCACTTCATGAGGCAATTTTATAGTTATCATTTTATAGTTACGAATTAGGAATTAAAAGCTTCAAAGGTCAACATTACAATTATCTAATTATTTAGTTAAATATTAAATTAATGAAAAAAAAAACAGTTTATAAATTTGTAACTAATAGAATAAAGTCTTTGTACTTAAAAACAGGAATGAAGTTACAATGAAGAGCAACATGAAACAGTAAAATGATAGAAATAAAAAAAGTAAAATAAACAACGAAACTTACAACTGATAACAATATGTTTTGAATATATTTTATAGGTAATTAGAGAATAGGCATAATCATTTTCAATACTGTAAGACAAATAGTTAATAATGTAATATTATAAAATTATGAAATATATTGTAATATTGAAAATCCAAAACATGAATTATGCGTTAAAATTCGTCACAGTAAATTATAAATACCATACATTTTACAGAAGAAACTTATTTCTCTATCGCTATACAAGAACAGGTGTATTTGAAAACTATAACAAAACGTGATAAATCGCACTAGTTTTTGAAAACTAACTGTTAATAAATATAACAGAAAATATATATATAAAATATGTAATAAGCATATATCAATTTTTTGCACTCTATATGTCAGATCGGTTTTATATATATATATATAGTATGTGCGTAGATTCGGGGGCGAAAAATCGATCTATTTAGGTTTCATCTATAGAAAATGTACTTTTATTCCTGTTTCCAGATATTTTTTTCTACATATCTACTTTTTTTAAACTTTTCTTTTTTTTCTATACCATAGCTTCCTTTATTTTTAATTTTTTTTTAATTTCCAAAATACACGATTTATCAAAAAAACTGAGATAAGTTCGGTACTCCAGGGACTTTCAATAAAACAGTTAAAAACTCTTCGGGCTCATAGTAAATCTAATAATGAAATGTGTTAGCGGAGATGGACAACATATCACCAAACACGTATCCCAAACATTTATTTAAAAATGTGAAGGTTTTGTTACGCGTTACTGTTAGCTCTGTGGGCATTACTTTATCGTCACCAGACGAAACGCGAAAGTAGAATACCCGGACGGGCCTGCCCATTCGTGCAACAGCCGAGGCTGCTGCGTGGCCCTACCACCGTAAAAGTAAGAATTAAATTGAATTATCAATATTTGATATAGTTAATATCTACAAACTGAACGAGACAGCGCAAACGCTATCCTCATCCTGTAACTGAAGAGATTTGCCATTAATTCGTCATGAATAAGACAATCAAATATTATTGTAAAAAATAATTCAATTTCTGCTACTAATATTTCATATGGCCGTTATTATAATAAACAATAACGGTGGTACAATCTCGTCACCTATCAAATTTCATTTTTCTGTCCCCGTTGTTGTAAAACTGAATAAAACTTTTAAATTTTATATTAAACTAGGCGTTGGCCTGTAAACGCGACTGAAATCCGAAAACAACTTATAAATAAAAAAAATTGTAGGTGTTTTGTATTTAATTGTATTTAAAAGGTGTAAACCCAAAAACAAAACCAAGTGGGCCATTTCAACTTTTAAAAAAGAATAAGAGCTTAATACAACGCGCAGGGTGTGCAACAGTACCGAAAATTGCACTCCATTAAAATCCGGTCCCGTGAAATATTCGGAAAATAATCCATTATCAAAATAGAGCACGCGCTTAAAATTTTCGCCCCGCCGAAATAGTTTCAGTTATTGTGTTCGCGTTCATTGTTACGTTACGTATTTAATCTACGTACGGATTCGCAATGCGTATGTACGGACACTGAATACCGGTATACAGTTATGGTGGACACATGCTTTTCCTCGGCCACGATATATAACTGAAAGCTTGAGCCGCGAATAACGAAATCATTTTCAACATCCCGAGAACAATTGAAAACACAAATGGTATTGCGATCGATTTCTTATAAAGAGCTCTCTGATGTTGTTTCTAACAGCAAGCGAACGAGGTGCCCTCATTTAATACACCACGCAATAACCGCTTGAGTCACAATGGACTGGGAGCCCGCGCCGGCCGGAAACAACAAGTGGGCGGCGCGAACCCGTCCGCAAATAGGCCGCTAACCGTTGTGCCATCGGCCCCCGCTCGGATGTTTCCCGTGTCGTCTTACTTATAGCGGTGGTAACAAGCCTCAAGAGAGGTCGCGTTATGTAAAGTTAAGCCTATCTATATATGTCGAATAATGCTAAAACACAATGTAGATAAAAGACGTTGAGATTTTCGTCTTCGTGGCAATCAGCCTTTTAGCTTAGTGGCCCACGCTGTTCTATCATTGTTGAGTAGGTAGGTAATACCTCAGGACTTAAAATTTAAATTAACAATTTAATTGGTGCCAGAATTCAGGTTGCGCGAGTATATTAGGGCGTAAAGAAGTTTTACACTTCTGCGTTTCATCTGGTGAGTGAGGTAGCCGGGCCCATCCGCAAATGCTGAGTTTTTTTTTAACAAGTACAAAAATTATTCGCACTTTTCAATCACCTCAAACAGCCAATTTGAAACTAAGCTACCTATCGGGACAATTTTTCAGAAAACACGGACATCACAATCCGTAACTACTCTTTTAACATTAACAGACCGTTAACCTTTGCGACGATGATGACGATGTAACGTTCTCAGTCAACCCTAAAATAAAGCCGAAACCGATCACGAACTGACTTCGAATATCTATTATCGACCCGTATATCACAGGCATAATAGAAAAAGCAACAAGAAAAGCTTTATTTTTACAACACACATAAAACAATAAAAATTTATTAGCAGAACATGATCAAAAAGTTTTATACCCTCAATATATTATAAATAAACATGTTATATGCATATTTTAGCAATTAATTAGGTATATGTATGTTTTTACATATTTATATACGTACATTACATATACACTATATATGTAAAATCATTGTGTATTCCGACAGAACTAACTATCGTTAAGAAATAAATCTGCATTACAATTGGTATGCCAAAATACAAAATACAAAAACTGCACAAAAATGCCAAGTATTTGATTAATTTACATGAAAATAGCAAAAAAGTAATCCATTAAACTCGGTCGGTATTCATAGACTCGATTCACCTTAACGTGAAATCGTAATTCGGTTAAGGCAAGATCTAAATTCAAAATCCAACCAAGCGACACGACGTAAATGGTGGTCGTTAAGAAATTAACCCAAACATGAGATTCCGTGGCGGAATTACATTTAGCGGGAATCAAGGGTGCGACGACGTCGAAAATAATTTTCAATTTCAGTCGAGGAGGCCTCTACGGCGGTTCATAGATGTTCGTAACGTCAACAGAAACTCGATAAGCGTACAACACTTGTTTGATATTTTTATTACGCAAACATTTACAATCCATATTCGAAGCGATGGGATGCTTTGAATCGTGATATTTCCGACGGCAAAGGAAGAACGAACTGAATTCTATGAAAAAAAATACTCATAATAATAATTAGTTTTAAAAGATGTTTCACACATTCCTAATCTACTCTCATAAACATTTCACTCCTTTAAACTCTGATGATAATAGAGAAAACGATCAAGTTTCCATTACATTTATAAACATATAAATATTAACGTAAAGAACATCCGTGTGAGCAAAGTAAAAGCATCAGGGTTTCTTCGTGATTAATAAAGAGCTCTGAGCCACGCAGCCTGTTGTGCACGTCACCTCACTGCAGCGGAAAACGTCCATGGTTTTAAGGCGAGACGGGCGTCCAGCTTTATTGCGGACTTTACGTCGCCATTGCCGAGGGGGCACGTGCATTGCGAAATTTACGAGTTTCCGCTGACAAATTAAAAATGAGTTAGTTTACAGCCGCGGGGCGAAATGGTAAAAAAGGAAAATCTTATTACGTGGAGCCGCCGAGACGGATGCCGCGACAATGTTATCCCGTCTAATAAATAGCCGCTATGACATCCACCCCCGTATATTACCCGCCGTGAAGGAAAACAATCTCTCTTCCAGCAAGAGAAACAAGTCGAATCCCTTTTTATGAACGGTCACAGCTCTTTGCCCGCTTTTTTGTTATGAAATTTTCCGAGTCTTTTCATTCGCGCGCTAAAGATGCAATCCGTTGAGAGACGGTAAAGCATTTCCCTATCTCGGCTGAATTTATATTGCCCTCATATATACATTTAAACGTTTTATAGGGATTGCGAAATTTTTTAATATCGCACTCGGCTACCGTGTCTTTTAATATAAAAGCTATCAGGGGCGGGCTAGAGTTCCGCGTCGCTTATAATTAATTAACGACCATGCTTCACGTGTTCGGGTTGTAGTGGTCCTTTGATGGGCCTTGCGAGGAAAGTGTTTGATGGCGCCGAAGCTTCAAGTGTCCAGTAACAAAGGCGCCATCTGTCGAGTGATGGGCAAACATTGATGCGAATGGGCGCGGACAATCGCTCCACTCTCGGTGATTAAAGCGAAAGAGGCGTTGACACTATATTACGATCGCGGCTCGCCCGGCAGCGATGCCTCCATTAATTTGTGTTCGACCTCGTGCGCGATGACAATTCGGCCGCACGAAACGATCAAAGCGAACGCACGCATTTCGCTTTTAAAGGCGAAAACCGTCCGATCGTTTATCGATTGTCGCTAAGTCAAAAATATTTCAAGCCAAATTAGCGAGGAGTTAATTCACAAAACAAGCAACCGTGCGGAAAATCTGAATCGCATAAGACCACTAACATTATTTACAAGAGTATCTTGTTTGCGCAGCGATCGCGGCTTGCGGTGGAGACGGTCCGCTTTAAACTCGCCACGCCCGCTCGCTTTCCGCCACAACGTATTTGTTTTTTAATTAGCACCGGACAAATTCTGTTTAATTTGCGGCTTGCTTCACTGCGCCGCCGTGTTTCGCGTTGGTCGAACGCCACCTGCAGGGGTGTGCGGTCGCTGCCACCGAAATAGGTAAGCCGCACCGAATTCTACCTCTAAAATCTGCGAAATCATAGAGCATTCAGTAGTTGATGGAGGCGGGGCGGGGGCTCGCTGCGGCGTTGTTGAGGCTCAGGGATTATGTATGGTCGGGTCGCTGGGAGCCGATTAATTGCTCTCCATTATGGCGGCAAACGCAAAACATTGTTGCACGCGCCCTGCACTAGTAGGCGCTCGAGATAGGGATTACCGTCTGGGCCGTGCTATTAAACTGTAATTCAACTATGGAAATTACAAAACGACAATACGTTGTTAAAGGATCTTAAATTGTCTGCCAGAATTTGTTTTAGGTTTGGAACATTTTTGTTTTAAAATATGTATATATCCTACAAAAAAAAATGATTATCTTGTTTAACCGAGCTCATTTAGCCGAAACAAGAAAGTATAAATTCCAATTTACGCCAGTCTTCTGAAATCTGAGGTCGTGGTACTTGTCAAACGAGCCTGCAAATTTCTGAATCAGAGGTTAATGCATTACGCGCTACCTTATCAAATGTCGTTCGGTCTATCCTACTTACGTAGACCTAACTTTAGAGTTTGACAAAGATTTCAGATAGAATAAAAACCGGCCAATTGCGACTCGGACTTGCGCACAAAGGGTTCCGTAACATTATCAATAAGAACGGCAAAATTATCATGTCTATTGTATGGGAGCTCCAACTATTTTTAACTATCACGGTTCATGAGATACAGCCTGGTGACAAACGGCCAGATAGACAGCGAAGTCTTAGTACTAATACGTTTTACCCTTTTGGTACAGGATTCTAAAAAAACTGTATTGTTTTTTTTTTTAAACGAATCTCGCACTTGGACATAAATTATGCGTCGCGGGAGATCTCTCAAACACAAAGAACACCCACAGACGGAACGATAATTTACGGAGCAGACAAATTTTTATCCCTAGCGGAGGTTGAACACACAACATGTAGCGCGATAGCAGTCGGCAAGGTGACCACTTCAAGCGTTTTGCTACCCGACAGAGGCACTGTAAAAAGAGCATTCATATACAATTGTTTTTCAACGACTTGTGAAATTTTAGACGTAATTTTCCTACCTTTAAATTTTTTTATATTTGTAGAAAAATGGACGAAACAATTTTCGACGCAGCGAAGTTTTGAAACGGCTTCCTCCGGTCCAATTTATGAAATAGTGAAAACGCATGTACAAACCTACGGGTGTTACACTTAACATCAAGTGAACCGTCAGCTCGCTAGCCACCTTTGAACATAAGAAAAATCTAGTGAGTTTTCTTTACAGCAAGCGATCATTTTTTGAACACTATACGTTCCTTCTTTCGAGACAATACCTATCCGAATTGTTTCAAATCAGAACTTATTTTCTTTGAAATATAATGTCGGCTATTATATAGTTACAACAAATCAATACTACACGAATAAATTTTATCTTTTTATGTTATCTGTTGGGATTTGTTTCATCTAATTTAAAAAAAATATTAGTCCGTCAGTCAATTAACTCGAATCGTTCCATCCGTTCTCGGCGCGAATAAAATATGTGAGAGCGACAACACGGAGCGAGACCTCTCGACACGTCATCTCTCATCCCCATATATTTTACTCCCGACTCTGGTATATTCGATTAGATTAGACGATAGTTGTCGTCCTACCGCTACGTACTCAATTTATTCCCCTCTTTTCTATTCAATACTTTTAGTTATTTATTCATGTACATGTTCTGTATTTTGTGCTTTATACTTCATTACAATATTCCCTTAAATTATATTCGAATGTGTTTTTCAATGACGACACGCGACCCCTTGCTTTTATTAATATTGCACTATATACCTTTATCAATGTAATGTAAAGGTATAAATATGTATAACTTTGTATATTATTATCAATTTAACAGAGATGAATGGAAAATTAATATCTTAATTACTAATTTATCATTTGAGTAACTGTACCAATTAGGACACTTAACAGGGTTATTGGCCAATCTTCGATTTACCCTATGGTTACGCCAATTAAGCATAATTAATAATTAAACAAATATACGGTACATACATCCATTACCCTTCCCTTACCTTATTCATCCTATTGCACGTACTGCCGCCTAAGGCGTCGCTAGCGCCGCGCGGCGGCGATAGTTTAAAAAAGTCGTTATCCCACAACCGCACGAGTGACATTGCGCTCCTCGTTATATTTAATTATCCCGGACATTGAGTCCTAGTAACGCTCCCTATTGATGTGTCGCGCCCTTCCGCGATTACGATAAGTCGAGAGTGTGGAGTATGGCTATCCAGGAACTTATTGAACACTGCAAAGTGCGTGTACCGAACTACATGGCGTGCCCGCCGGTGTTGGCTGCATCCCAGGGAGCGCAAGCGCTTGGCTGCCGTCGCAAGGTTAGTACGTGCATCTCGCCCACCTTCCTAGCTCTGCTTATTGTATGTACCAATACAGTCCACTAAATTTTATCGAAGCAACCTACCATTATTGGCGCGACCACCCTACATATTCAATTTAAGTAATGAATAGCTGACGGAAATTTGCTAAACCCTATGATGTTTAACATAATTAGTTTGAATTGCTTAATTATGTATTATTGTAACATTCAAATTTTAATGTAGGTACATAACACTTGATCGTATGTTTTAAGTCTTTATTGTTAATGCTGACTAGAATTTTGTTTTACTACCCTTTCCCGTATCTAATCAATTACTATACCTGTAAACAATAGTTTTCATAAAAGAAATATACTTTTTTTTTTAATAATGACTGTAATTAATAATAAAAATTTTACCATAGCCCTTAGCATCAGCTCTCCATTAGGACGTAAAGCAATTCAGTCTGGTCCGTGACCCTGAACGCTGTAAGTGTTCGAATTGTCGGCAATTTAAAATCATAATAAAACGCCACAAGATCCGTAAAATAGTACAATTTAACCGATTTATAATTTCGATTAATTTCAAAAAGAAGTCTACTTGGTAAAACGGTAGATAAAGGCTGATCTTCCAATGGTAGCGACGCGATCTTGAAGCTAACGTTTCGATTCCTCACCAGGCGTTCCCCGAGATGGCGCTTAATTTCAAATAGAAGTCTACTCGGTTAAACCGTTAGGACAAGCTAATCATCCAATGAGAGCGACGCGATCTTGATGCTAACGTTTCGATTCCTCACCAGGCGTTCCTCGAGATGGCGGAGGAGATCTCTGCGGTGGCGATGGTCGCCTACTTCGGCGGCTGCGTTGCCCAACTGCGCGGTCGCGCGGTCTACGTGCAGTTCTCCAACCACAAGGAGCTAAAGACCGACCAGACCCATAGCAACGCTGTAAGTATCATAGAATATTATTATACGAGATCGTTTCAAATAAACATAGTGGTGAGATAACGTCGCGAGAAATCCCGCATTCTCACTTCCTTACTTAATATAATAAACGCGAAAGTTTGTATCTATAGATGGATGTTTGTAACACTTTCTCGCAAATACTACTGAATGGATTTTAAATGAGACTTTACAATAAAATAGCTTATACATACACGGCCTGATTTACGGTTAAAACTCATAACTGTCATATTAATAAGATGAAAAACATTAGATATCTCAACCCATTTTCTGAGAATTGAGCGAATCATTTTAGCATGTAGCTGGATATATGACAAAAAATAATTCTGAATATTATTCAAATATATCTTAGGAAAATTTGACCTGGTGCCTTTAAAGCCTCTTCTTTTAATGCAATTTTTTTCACTGAAACCTAATCCAAAAATATAATATATTCTTGAATCAAATCATAATAGTACCTAATAGTGACAGCCTATATATGCCTTACCCCAATTACACGTAAAATACCATGTTTCATGTGTCATTGTTACTCGAACACGTCAAAAGCGCCGCGGTAAATAAATTTTCAACGCATCCGCCTATCGGGCAAGCTTATGTAGAAACGAGCATACGTATGTATATTCAATTTTAACGAGGTTACGTATGAATACAAATCTCGCGTATTCACCGCGCCCGCTGTAAAATGCCTAAAATGTACAGCGCTATTATTCTTTTATGTTCGACGCCAAAAAAACAAAATCGATTCGATTCCGGTTCGCCGAGTACATTCGCAACAATAACCGAGCGATCGTTCAATTAGCCCTTTTTAATTCTGCTAGCTATAGTCGTCGGCCGATGCTGGGAGCATTAAGGCTGTCACCGGTCACGGCGGGAGATTTTCAACCCTTCATTTATCGTGTTACTCCAAACCTATACACGATTTCGCGGAACAAAGCCCGCCATTCATACCGCGTGGCCACAAAAATGTCGCCTAATTGTTAAATTGAAGCCCCGTCCGTCCATTTTTACGATTCAGTCGTTTGTTTATTTATTAATTATGAATGTTGTTACGAGAGTTAACGGTGGTCCCGAATAAACCGGAAAGAATGCTTAAATTTTCCCCTACCCGAAAATTCATTTAATATATTGTATTACCTGCGTAAACTTTTAGCTTTTTATTTAGCTTTAAACTCGATCGAGCTTATTAATGAAAATTATTATTTAAATATTTAGTGACTATTAAAGGGGTGGTTTAGTTTGTTAAAAACTTCTTTAGCAATGTAGCGGACCTGATATAAATAAAAAATCCTTAATGTTCTGCCAAGATGAGCAGTTGTATAAATTTATTTTCAAATGTCGTCGTCGGTCGTTTCAAAAATAGAAATGTTTAATAACCACGATTGATGAATAACTAAGGTGAGTTTGAATTGTATTGGGCGAACAATATTTTCAATTACTTTACGCATGTCTATACACAACGTCCCAGGGAAAAGAATGCTTATGCGTGAATGACTTGAAACGTCACGAATGTGATAATTTTGAAAAGTTTTCGGCTATCGTCTGATATATTAATGGTGTCTCTATTAGATATTATAGAAAATCATGTGGCATTGAAGTCGGTGAAACTTGCTTAAATGTAGAGGACACTTTCTTTTCAAGAATTTAAATATTAAGCTTCACGTTTTTAATTTCAAAATAGCCCTTTAAAGTTTCTAAGACATAAATGTAAATTACAAATGAAATATTCTCGTCACTGATACATTTGACTTCTACTTTACTCCTTACTCGATTGGATAAAATAACATTTCCCGCTGCGTCTTCTAGTGAAATAAATATGCACAACCCTTTTAATATCGTCTCCTGTTACTTTGCCACAGGTAATTTGTTTTACTTCTATTGCTTCCAGGGCAAAGTTATAATTGGATGGGGCCTATTAGGTACACTGTACCTAGAAAACTAATAACGATTTGTTATGAATAGTAATAAAGCTTCGTGAATGAATTTCTTCGCGTCTTTTCTTTCTGTTCGTAGTAACTTAAATCAAAATTTACGGTAACGGAACCCCTAGTAATAAAAGCAAATCGTCCGTAGTAATAAATCGGAGTCCGTAGTAATTAAAGCAAATAAATAAATCTGTTTGTAAAATAAATAAAAAAACTTGTGGTCTCAAGATGTCGCCTTGTTAAATTAATCTCGTCTTTAATCTGAGTATCTTTTACAATTGCATTCGTAACTTAAAAAGTTGATTTAAGACAAAACTTCAATATGGAATTAACATTTTGAGCTAGATTAGTCTTTTCGAGTAATTTACGCCCCTTTTGTTATTTTACATCAATTACATATATTTGGTTGTACAATTAGGAAAAGGAATCCTTAGAACAAATAAATTTAAATGTTACTTTATTAAATATTTTCATAATAAATAATTTGTTTCTATTGTTTATTTTTCAATATAATGATTTTCTTATTTGAGATAAGAAAATCATTATATTAAAATCGCTTTTAAGTAATTATAGAAAATAATAATAAGTGCTATTACTATATTTAATTTAGTTCACATTAAGTACGAGTAAAACCGTTAATATATATTACCAGCCCGCAGATAAACATTCGTGTATCACACTTAAATTGCCACTTGGAATCACAAAAGATGAAAGCAAATGAGCTATTAAGCAAATATGTTAATCGGCTTCGAAACCTCAATGAAGGGAATATTCACTGTCTGGAAATATTCTACTTACGATAGAACATTATCTGTTTGTATTATTGTTTGCTAATCAATGGCATAATAGTTGTTTGATCTAGTTGTCAACAGGCAGTGGAGTAAACACAATGGCTAATTAATGTAATGATTACGCTCAAAACAAGCGGTGTCGGGTGTCTATTATGTTTGTATAAATCCCTGCAAACTAGAGGACGGCTCTAAGCTGTCTCCAGTTTCTTTGAAGTACCTCACGAATGTTTGATTGGTGCTAGACAAATAACGGTTCTCACTCGAAACACGTTGCTTCTCAATTTAGTGTTTCTACGCCGATTGACGAAAACTAGGTAGTGCGTGAGATGTAAGAATGTTTATGATGTGTTTTGATTGCTTCGATAAGTTAATAATATTAAAAACTCGCACTTTTATATATTCTCGCAATATAATAATATAAACAATTTAATTTCGATGTATATTCGAACTGGAATATTAACAAAATGTAAATAATGCCTGTCCAAACGTAGATGTTTTGACGTCTTCTGTCACCCTTACTTCCTCCGACGCGCTCGGCGATCTTTCATAATGATGCGACCGACCGCCATCGCAAACGTCTCTTTAATATTTTAATAAAAGTAATTTACGGATTTTATCGCGTTTTATTTTGAGTGATTTCACAGTTACAATAAACCGCGATAAAATCCATAACTAAATTTAATAAAAATGTTTAAAATTCGCGTCTTTTAAATATTATTATTTATTTTACATTCCCGGCCAATTTTATGAACCAGGAACATTTTTTTAAAACCGTATTTCCCTTGAGCACCTAAATGAGTAACGTATTGAAACAATATCTTAATTTTATGTAAGAGAAGCATTATTTGGATATACACTATTGGTTTATGTATTGAATTTCGTAAAGCACCGTATACTGTTAATCTTTCTTTAAACGGAATTTAGTAAGACAGTCATTTTAGCCTACATATAATTCTATAATCCTAATTACACCAATTATTTAAGTTTTCTACTCAATTAGAATCCAAGATGACGAAACATATATTAGAAAATATAATAGAAACAATAACTTCATATGTAATATTAATTCCGTACAGACATTTCTGTATTCGATGTCTTTGTATCGCTCGTTGTTAAAACTTATAATAAGGGATTTGGGAGAATACACAGGGATCGTTAGCATCACATGTTCACAAAGATATATGCCTTCAACGTTTATTTAAAACTTCTTAATCGTATTACGAAATTCCATTGTGCCGTTAAAACTGTTCGTTTTATACATTAAATATGTTCAGGGCATAAAATTAGAATTTTAAGGTTATCTAAATTATTAGTATAGTATAAAACAAAGTCTTCCCGCTGTCTGTCTGTCCCTATGTATGTTTAGATCTTTAAAACTACGCAACCGATCTTGATGCGGTTTGTCTTACTGGTTAGAGTGATTCAAGAGGAACGTTTATATCTATAACACATTGCACGTGCAAAGCCGGGGCGGGTCGCTAGTTGTCTATAATTTCCATTTGATTTTGTTATAGTTATCATACTTAGTTTTATCGTTGTGCTGCTGAAAGTTTGCCATTATAAAATTGTCCGAGTCCATTTAGGGCCGATGCATTTTAAAGGACCGTACACTGAAAGCGGGGCTTTGATCAATCATGCGACGGAAAAGGTTTTTGTGGTCGCTGAATGGGACTTCGAATAGCGGACGGAGTTATTCTGTCGCGTCGACTTCGGCCCCAAACGTCTGCCGTGGGTCGTGAAAGATTGCACGACCCGCGAATGGATGGAGCCTTTTAAATAACCCGACTAGTTCGGCGGGCTACTTAGCTCCGGCTCTTCGGTAATATTCCCGGGAATCGCTGCACTGAACTGCTCCGCTTCAGCGTTAATTCATTTAATATTCGAGCACGTTAATTTATAAATAAATGTAAAGTACACATTATAACACGACATTCTCTAGTCGCAATTTAGATACTTGATAAACATACTTAAACATACTTTTCTTTTGTAAATAAATACATATTATACATATATAAACACTCAGACTCTGGAAAAACACTATGTTTATCACACTATATTTTTCCAGTAGTGGGGATCGAATCCACACCCTATTACGCAGATTTACGTTTCTCTAACAAACAAAGTTGAAGTGATTAAAAAACTTAGTTCGAGGTCTCGGTGTCTGGAACAATTCAACTTTTGATAGGTCACACGCGGTCCAAAGTAGAAAAAGGCGGCGAGCCGGGTGAATTTGTAGCGGCCTTTGCCGTCGGTGGCAGCGAGCTTACCGTGACACGCTTAAAGCTCTATTTTTGCGTCCCGCGCGCCCGGCACAAAGCCACGCGAAAATGTGGGATCAAAGGTTGCCGCGTTCGTTCGCAACCGGCCTCCTTCAACTCCACACGCTCGTTGGCGCGGCTCGGTACTTTTTTTTTTTGCGCAGGGGGCTCTTTCGCGCGTTTGGTCAGGGTTCGAAACTGCTTTGTGCCGTAACCGACGCGGCGGCCGTCGCTCACAGCCAGCGTTTTCATTGAAATTTCGATGGAAGTCGACACCCGTGATGAACGTAAAGTTTATTTACTCACTAGTGTCAACGTCTGCGTAGAATAGGCTGAAGGCGTAACATTCAGACAAAGACAGATATACATTAAAATATGTATATAAACTATAGCCTATGTTTAATTCTGATGTATAAGCTATATTATTGTAAAGTTTCATTAAAATCCATTCAGTAGTATTTTCGCGAAAGAGTAACAAACATCCATCCATACATACAAACTTTCGCCTATAAAATATTAGGTATATTAAATAATATATATTATATAAGTAAGGATAACGTGACGATTATTGATTTGGCACTGGCTAATCTTAAGGCTGACTCAGACATTTGACGTGATTTCTTAGAGTCTTATGGCTTACTCAACAATATATTCTCCTAGGCGTGTAAAATGTGCGTTCGTAAGTTACTTGAAGAGCTTATATTCTATAAAGCTGACCCTCACAACGAAAGGTTAGTAAATATAAAGCGGAAAACCTTTGTATCTCTTGCAATATAAAATCCTTAACCAACAAGGGCATTGTGTACTGATGCAGGGAGAAAGCGCTAAAATGGTTTCGCTCCGAAAGTCAAGACAGTTTTCCGTCTGTGTCTATAGCGACGGTCTCGGGCACTCTCGCCGGGACAACGTAACGTACTTTGGCCGCGGCCGCAGCCGCGCCGCGTCCTCCCCTCACCTCGTAAATTTTATAATACATGTGTCCAATTTCTCAAAGTCCACCATCTCGCGAAAGCTTAGGCGTAGCCCTCCGCGTCGTCGCGCCCCCTGCCGCACTCCAAACAAAGTGACGGGCTCCCTGGTACAGGATAAGTTCACGCGCCCCTTTGTCCGGCGCGCTCAATGTTATCTCCCGTTCTTGGGACACTCGGAGGTGGCTCGCGCGTGCACGAGATAACCAAACCCCCCCCCCCCCCCCCCGTATTACGCACCTATTGTTCGACGACTTACGGCAGATTAGTGGGAGCATTTATTTTTTACGTGACCGTAAATGTGTTTACCTCGGTGAGTGGACGCGCGTTCGGGATCGAACGTGCCCTTTTCAGTATACGTACGGACGATCGTTACGTTTTCAATTAAATACGTTACCCGACATTTTTTCCGTTAATCGTAACGTCTTATTGTAAACGGTAAGGTTGGATTAAAATCCGGCAGGCGTACTAATTTATATTGTTGAAATCATTCAGTACATAACGGAATTAAATTTCTTTCTAATTTATTATAATGTTTTTTTTATTTAAATTATTTTTTTGTACTTTTATGCAGTCATTTTAAATAAAAAAAAAAACGATCTATAATCGACTAGGTAAAGACAATATTATGTCTGTCATCAGCAGTTGCAACATTTAAACGATTTTTGCTATAATCGTATTGACCCGAGACTCAATCTCAAACTGCGTTACGATTGATCGAAGACGGAGTGAATTAATTGAAACTACTATTGTTGCAGTCGGCATCAGCCCAGGCGGCTCTGCAAGCGGCCCAGGTCATATCCAACAGCGCCGGCGCCGCCCTGGTCGCGGGTGCTGGCGCCGCCTTGCAGCCGGCCAACGGAGGCACCGAAATACAGGTGGGCGATGTGTTGGACAACCGTAACGGTTGTAATCACGTCATCGCAACTCCACGGATCCAGCGCGAAATTAATAATCTCAAAAATATACGTGAGGATTTTACCTATGTCACAGCATTGTCACAAATTATGGCCCCAAATTATCGTTTACCACGGCAAACTTGCACTTCTTGTTAATTTGTAAAACCCAAATTAAAATCTACTTGTAAATGAAACTCCCTCACAACTTATCCGAGCAGTTAGGCGTGATAAAATATAAACGCAATGTAAAAAACACTGAGTTCATATCTGTGCACCAATATGGCAGGAGGAATTTGATGCGGAATTATCTGACAAATTTCAAAATGTCACGTTCAGAACTGACAATCAAAAATTCATGATTTGCACAAAACTTTTTTTCTTTGTGCGAATTGATCCCCTGCTCTGATTTCTCTGACACAAATACGTCAAATCATAGATTTTTTTTTTTCACATCTTTTTATGGACCTAGAATAGATGTGATTATATTTCAACAGCATACCTTCAATTAGTAGTTTTATTCATATTGCATTGAATTTATATAAACGTTTTTTTTTTATAGTCAATGATTTAGAATAAATATAAAACTCGATAAAATATGTTAAAATATGTATTCCATGTCGAGTTTTGAAGTAGTTAAAAAGATTTTGTAAATGTTAAAACGATCAACTTGTTGGCCTTATTAAAAACTTAACTTGAAAGCACCGTGTTCAAAATAAATTCAATTTACAAGCTAAAAAGTGAACAACGAGATTCGTATCCACATTTTAGATCATTATTTGTAATATATGAGATATTACAAATAATGATCTTAAAGTTGTTTCATCAAGTCAATGGCAATCCATCCCGAATTTAGTTTAAGTTCTAAGCGCATTTGGCCGCAACGTCGAGCGTCGGACTTAATACCGAAGCTGTTTACCAGACCACCTAAAATATTACAAACTCGTCCTACAAATCAGCTTTACTACCCCAGCCACTGGCCGAAGTAAGTAATGTACGGAGATAGATATCTAACGCCGCCTTAAGTGGTCACAAACAACGATTATTATAACAGGGAGCACTCGGGTGCGTTCAAATAATACAGCCAAATAGGGTAAACAGAGAGCTGCGGAAAGATACAGATAAAAACTCTCCGTTGATTGCCGTTTACAAGCAAGCAGCAGTTTTTAGAATTCCCTTTGTTTGTATTACATCGCGATTTTCTTTGTGGACGGCGTCCGCGCGGAGTGGAAGCAATTTTAACGCTAATGCTTAAATATGCACTATGTGATGCTGAATCTCTTAGCAGCCAGTGTAATTACGGCGGAATATTAAATTGGCATCAAGACTGCAATTTGCTCGATCTAAATAAGCTAGTTAGGTCATGAGAGGTCAGAAGTCAGTTTAAGTTAGTAATTTAACGAAAACATGACGAGTATATATGTATCAATCAATACCCAGTACCTGTACTGATGCATCTTAAACGTATTAATGATAAATTTAGCATATCCCATATTTTGATGAAACTATTAATCTATTAATATATTTCTTTGATTTGTAAATACATTTCTAAACCTAATGTTTTGTTTGATTGGAGCCATAAAAAATATAGATTTTGATTTAGTCTTACAGAATTATTATTCCTCCTTTGAACTAAAGCGTCTCCATAATCGTAAAGTATTTGAGAAGGAAAAAGAGACAGGTTTTCAGCACACCACAAAGGGAGTTGCAGAGATATGTTGGTAGAATATCGCGACCCATATTCAAAAACAAACGGTGCTTGCTCTTGAATGAAAGCGTTATTTTTTTTGCGCAGGGAGGTCCCAACACGGTGCTCCGAGTGATTATAGAGCACATGCTTTACCCGATTGTGCTCGACGTGCTGTACTCCATCTTCCAACGGTACGGGAAAGTTCTGAAAATCGTGACCTTCACTAAAAACAGTAAGTGTCTTTTATTTAATCTGTGTCTTTTTTCGATTAAGGAAGCACATTTACTGAGATGGTTATTTACTGTGGCAGCGACGCATCAGTTTCCGGCGAGTGAGGTAACCAGGGCCCACCTTTTTTAAAGTTTGTCAACCCATCTGCAAACCCTCGGGTGTTTGTTAATTTTCAAATAAAAAAAAGATGGAGAAAGGTGAAAAATTAAAGTTAAATTTTGTTTCATAGTTGTCTCATATTGCGGTCAATTAATAAACTTATGATGAAAGTAACAATCAACAGTAACATCAATCCGCGTAATATATCTATTCTGATATGTCACAAACTTCTCACAACACTTCCTCTAGCTCTGTAGCACTCTCTCCCTTTCTTTCACTGTCTCGCTCGCTCCATATCTCATTAAAAGAGAAGCCATGTTAATGCAAATGCTATAAAAATCGATTCGGCGACGATATAAATCTCAATTATTGCCTAAAATATACGCGCAGCGGAAATATTGCGAAACGCCTAATCCCTTTATCGTTGCGCTTCGTTTATTCACCCCCCCGTCGGATTACGGTGCGTGAAGCAACTATTAATAAATCGAATGGGGGTTTGGCTTTAAAACGAGGATTCTCTGATTTGCGGGTGCGTTAAAGGCCTACATGCATTGTCCATCTCACACGATGCACGACAAAAAGTGGTAGTGCAAGTAACCTTGCTGGTTGCACATAATTTCTAATAAATTTGTGATGGATGCATTATTATCTAACCAACCCCCAACTACATCTTGCACGACGCGCGGCTGTCTGGAGTGTAGTACATAATACATATTATGCTTACCGTCCGTAAAATCTATCGTAGTCGTCGACAATTTGTCGGAGTAAATAAAAATTAATTCGAGTCGCACTACCTTTATCTGACGTCATAAAACGCATTGTTTATGAGATATCTCCCGTAACATCCATTAACGAAAAATTTATTTTTTCTCGATTTCCATTTTATCACATTATTTAAGGAGATACAACATAATCAAAACACTCATTTGTTGACGCTTTGATAAATACCGTGGCACTTTGGACGTAGCACGATGGATGCCTTGAACGATAGCGCCTAGAGCGCGATCGAACGTTATGCAACGTTATGAACGACGGGCACCGCTGGCCATCAAGATGGACAGTGAGGCCTTTACCTTTATGGTGATAGATTTACCAAACAACGCCAAGCCCGAATCCAAGGGCGCGTTCAAAATTTAAATCGTACCCTCATGCATCCCAAATAAATCCGGCCGCCGGCAGGTACGCGGGTACATATTTGATGGGCAACGCCCCCAACCCCCCCCCCCCCCCCCCCCCCCCCCCGCTCCTCGTCCCACCGCGCCCCACCGCTAATTATAAAGTTAGTTTAAAAAGCCTAATCAGATCTACGAATTCCTGTACCGCGGCCCGCCCCTTGCGTGCCCCGCTCGATTCTTTTTACGTATTAATGCGCAACTTCGCCGAAACACCTACAAACAAAAGTTCGCCCCGATCTGAAACCGAATAGCATCCCCCGCGTTCACTGTCTCAATCGAACCCTTGTCAAACAACTGACATCAAATTTACAAAAATACTTATTTATTCAGAAGTAGACGCCAGTTTATATTTATTACGTGCAATTTACTTACCGAGTGGAATTTAATCTTGTATGAAAACACAGAGAGAGGACTTTTTTTTCATATTGTTACTTTATAGTTTCGAGGGTTCCGTAGGTTCCATATAAAGGAAGGACCCTCAAAGGATCACCTATTGATGTGCGTGGCTGTGTAAGAATCTATTTAGACTGAAATAAGGGAAAATAGAGAATGACATGTGTTACTTAACGGTTTATAAGAAAGTAAACATTTTCATCCATTTTTGCATGTTCAACGTGTCATTAACATTGTTGTATATTTTAAATAGTGATGCTGTTTGGATTTCTAATCGTACCGGCTGGCAGGGTTGTCATGAGCTTACTTTTATTTATTCCGAGAGCACCGGTGGTTAATTTTCCACGCGTCCTTTATAGCGCAAGCAAGTGGTCCTGGTATCAAAACTTAATTAGAGATCCGGCATTATTCAAAACGGGCCAACGAGCAGGCGTGTCGGCGGAGGCGCTCGTAACTCGCTCGTAACTCGTCCGCAACTCGCCCGTAACCCGACCGTAACCGACTCGTAACCCGCTCGTAACCCGCCCGTAACTCGCCGGTATCGCGACAGCACCTCCGCTAATGCAGCATTTCCAATTTCCGAACGTCGCGCCCGACCCTTGCTCCGTTTCCGAAACTGCTGTTTGCTTTTTTGCCGCATTCGTCATTGTCCAATTGTAAAAGCTTTTGTCTCTAACAGTCCGCCATTATTTACCGAGACGCTCCCCTTTTGTTTTAAACTAACTAAACACCACGTTATTTCGAGAGATTCCGTCTTACCGAAAGCTTCGTGTCTTTAACGCTTATTATTTTAAAAGGATTCACATAATATAAATACCGTGTCTAACTGTCTTACTAATGACGAATAGCAAGAAGAATGACTTCAAAATCGCAGGAGATTAAAATTTTCATTTTGGAAAAAAATCCGTTGAACTGAAATCTTTTTAATGCTTTTTTTATTCTTTCCTTATCTGGACATGACAGAATTTAATGTTAACAAATGTTTAGAGTTAAAATTTTATCACAGATTAGTTTCAATCATATACAACTGTATATAATTCTAGATATCTTTACTCGAAGCAGGTAAATAAACCCAACTTGGATGGACCATACAAATCCGTACCACAGCGGTAGATCGCAAATCCGTAGCGTATAAATCCCTACTTCAATTATCCTGTCTCGTGGGGAGCAAATAAACCACACATTTCGTTCCCAATTCACTTTCGATACTTCACTACGCGGAACGAAGATATCTGTCGAAAGTTAAGTAACACGTAATGCTACGAATAGTCGCTACAAAGGCAATTCTTTCGTCTCGCGATACATTAACATAAAATCGTTTTCGTAGACAATCGAGTGAAGCGTAGCGCGCTTATTGTTATGCAAAACCGTGACTACAGTGTAATATTCGCAAATATTCCCACACATTCCGCCAGTGTTCTTCGACAACACAAACATATGTATGCGTCGATTATTTATTTCGGTTCGGCGATCGTGTCCTCCGAACCTATATCAAGAGCGACTGAAAATAAACGTGCAGCCTTCATGATTTATAACACTCCAGTTTTCTCCCTCTATTCCCGTTTAAACAGTACCCACGGCCGCGCGAAACGCAAAATACTTCACAACATCAACCGCTTAGAAGTTGTTATCGAGTTCGTGTTGTATCTCGTTGTCGCCCTCGTCGTGTTTCGGCGAAGTTCGCCCGATGAATATTCCAGAGTTTTTATCGCATTACGCTAATGAAAGCGACAAAGTTGCGAATCGCTCGGATCGTTCGGACGGCATGAGCGTTCGCTGGTATTGTTTGTTTCGAGTCGTTAGGTCGCCGTTAGCACGTCGTCACTGTCGCACGACGGCAGGTTAGCGTCATACGCGCTCCTAATCCCGAAACAAATCTCAATGAGGATAGCGCGTAGCCGTAATACCCCCCCGACCTCGTCGAATCGCCTCTTTGGCTTTATTAAGGTGTAGCAGGCCGCCGCGATTATTATGCGTCCCCTGTTTGTGGTGGATGTCGTGTCTATGTCGCAATAGGATTTCCGTAATTAAGGATTTGATTCGTCGACGGGTGTGTTGCGGCTGTATATAGTACAAATACTGCGTATCAAATATTCATATTTGTATTGATCGTCTGTTATAGATACGGGATTGACATAAAAAACGAGAATGAGTTCGGCCCATTCGTTGTTAGCTTTGAAATCGTCCCAGCATAAGTCCTCGTAGGGCGGCGTTGCAGGTAATACCAGGCTTGCGTCGTCAGTTGAAAGCGCGCCGTAATTTGCGAGCCGTGACGCATTCAAGTCCGGCACAGCACGTTCGATGGAGATGAGACGGTGAGATTTAAGATATCATATTATGATGTAATTCCGCCCCTGGGTGGCCCATCATTTACATAGCGGAAGCCTTCCTCTCAGCCGCTCACCGAAATGAGGATTAGGGAGTTTTAATTTCCATCCGTAACCCCCACCGTCTCGTATTTACGTATCGGTTTAAATATTTAAGAGTTTAATTTCGTGCTCTCTTAGGCGTTTTCGATAAATTCATCTTGATTGGTTCAGACCATTTGAATGTCTTTCGAATTCGGTTAAAGCTAACAATTTGATGACGTTAAATTTCAAAGTTGACGTTAACTATGTTCATGTTTATTAAAAGTTGTTGTTTTGATTTCTCCTTCACTTCTTTCGTTCACTGTGAATTATATTATATGTGTATAAAATTCATACCATAAATATTTCAGTTCCTCAATAAACACATATTTAAATTAGACATACCTATATCTAATGAAAGTATATCAAATTTAAAACGTTACCAACATACTACTACGGTGACAGGAATATACTTTGCACAGCTAAGAAAAACTATTACTAGATAATAGTCTCATCAATATATACAATGATATTAGATACCCACTTAAACTCGGTGCAAAAATATTGTGTATTACATTAGCCGTCTCGAAACCACTTCTATTCAATATCCTCCGTAAAAAATCTTCACGACGATAAAAGCGGTGAGGTTTTCCGATAATCACAAAGTAAATATTCCCACCAAATAGTGTTTATTGCCCGCTGCCCGGACCCTTTTGCAAGTGGACATTTAGGGGCAAAGTTATGCAGAAGGGTCGCCACTAAAGCGTAATCCCACCATCCACTACAATCAATAACGGTGCCCCGTGAAATGAAATAAAAACCTCTCCGGTTAATGATACCATCTGATTCTTGATTACTTTCGTATTCAATGTAAATTAACTCCTCGCTGGAAGGAGGAAAGAGCGAAATCTGAACCGATTTCTTTTTATACAACTATTAATAAAACTTTCATCAATTCGTACAATATTCGACGGAACTTACCTTGTTCACTGAAGGAATAATTCTTTTTATACGTATCTTATATTACAGAAAATTTATTACTTGCATTCGAAGCGACTACGTGACAGCAAAGGTCGAATGCAATATGAACGTCGTACTTTTTGGGGTTCAGTATCCAAAGGGTAAAACGGAACCCTATTACTAAGACTGCGCTGCCTGTCTGTCAGTCTGTCTGTCGGTCCGTCTGTCCGTCTGTCCGTCTGTCGCCAGGCTGTATCTCATGAACCGCGATATATAGACAGTTGAAATTTTCACAGATGATGTATTTCTGTTGCCGCTCTATCAACAAATACTAAAAAATAGAATAAAAAAATATTTAAGTCGGGCTCCCATACAAAACACATGATTTTTTTTGCCGTTCTTATAGACTCGCACTTGGCCGGTTTTTAATTTCGTAATGTATTATTTTATGATAATGACTTTTTAACGGGTGTTGAATTCATTAGTCTTACCTTTAATCGCTTCCTCCCCTACTTTTCATGGTTATTGTTATAAAACATAACCATGATTATAATATATACTTCATAAAGTATACTCGTATATAGCCTTATAAAAAATCCTCTGTTGATGCTATAATAGTGTTGATTAAGATTAAGAATTAAAGTTCATTAACTTACCATGTATTTATAGACTTCTTTTCATATATTTTACTCCGTTTCATCATTAATCTTTTGTAAATGATTTTGCTAAATGTGGTTTATAAAGATGTACAGTAAATTTTAATATCTGTAAAGCTAATTATGTGAGCCCCATTCCCGCCGAGCGTTTTACGCCGTCCATTTGCCGTTAAGAATGGCCAGCCTAAAGAAAATATGGGTCTTAAAGAGCATTTAACTATGTATGAAGGAGACAGCGCGTTACTTTTAATTTAGCTCGACGTTTCTTACCTGGAGTGGCTCGGGTACTTTCTATATTTTATGAGCATTAGGAAATTGTGAAGGGTGGAGGAATGGCTGATAAATGCCTGTACCCGGAGGTGTTTAAGCGATCTTACGTGTATATTATTATTTCTATGCAAAAGACTGTATTTTAACAAACGTACAAAGAAAAAAAATCTTTTGTTTAGACTAAAAACATCGCGACCTTATGCAAAACAATCAAAGTTTTATCACAGTCAAATGAATGGGATGGATGAGAATAAACATACAATAATTATTTTTATTAATTAAGATACAACTACGTTTTCACCAATATATAAAAACCCAAAACTATTAAACTATTAACCCACTAATAGCCAATCTTATGTAACATAGCTTATATTTCACATATACTAAATTTGGCTCTGTGTGCTATAATAACAAGTTTATTGTAAAAGAACTGTGTTTCCGTTTAACCCGTAACAAAAGGCACAAGTTGGCATCGCCAAAACATTATATCGCTTAGCAAAGCTTCAGCATGAAAAATAAAACGACATTCTCTAATGGTACGTTATGTGGCCAGCGCAGGTGTTGCCCGTACCATGTTTCCCTTAGCTAAAAATGTGAATTTATACGCCCGGCCCACAGGCGGCAATAATCGCTAGGCTCACACCTAAATTAGGGGTCCACTCCCGATCCTGGCGGTAAACAAGCCTCACGATGAATATCACCGGCCTTTTCACACCGTAACTACTTTTAAATGCCTCCCCTAAATCCGCACAGGCGTGAATAAAACGACAAGTTATCGGGTAAACAACCGGACATCCATTTTCTTGATTAGTGCAATAATACATTTATACTCCCCATTATCTAATTGAAATTACCGTTAAACTCATTAGCTACAATATAACAGACTCAAATATTAGTTGACGCAATATTATGATTGAACTATAAACATGTTAAATAAAAGCTTGAATACCACTTAGAGTCCACGCGTACCGTTTATCCTCGGCTTCTCCGGTTAACGTTGTCGAAAATGGTTTCATGTGATTGCGCGTAAGCAAACAGAACGTTACCCCTTAATTCAAATATTCTCTGGAGCGTTGAACGTGATAAAATACCTGCGGTGCACCTGTGGCCTCACTTAACCCTCGAGGACTTAGCAGCGCGGCAGCCCCACACTGGGCGCCAATTTCGTCTTGTTAGAGCGCGCTCGTAAACAAGATATTAGATGTCAACGAATCTCAAAATTATCTTTCGTTTTAATATCGCAAAAATTAACTACTCCTTCGCCCACTTAAGCGATATTGCATTACATCTACACTCATTTGTTCTCGTACCGAACGCTTTTTAAGCTTTCGTAGTGGTGTAACACAAGTACATGTAACGGTTATAAATACAAAAAACTAGCTGGATTTCCTTGGCAGTGTTTAAGTTGGCGACAGAACGTTTAACTAATACTATTTTTCTACGCTATACGCGTCCTACCAACATATTATATGCATTAGAGATGCCGCGTGCGGATGTGGACCTGAGCTGTACAATAATTTATTGTAAAAAGTGTTACGTAACGTAAAAATTACCTATGTTTCTTACTATGTGTATATGCAGTATCGTTTTATCAACTTTATTTGTTTCGATAACGCAAAAGTAACGAGTGTTATTTTCTTCCTCAGATTCTTTCCAAGCGCTCATCCAGTACCCCGACACCATGTCTGCGCAAACGGCGAAGACGGTAAGTACGAACAACTTCTGTTTTTATTTAACAGTTTGTTAAGTAAAGCTATAAAACAAAGTTCTTATCTCCTCACGTTTCACTCACCTTAATGACCCGCTCCGGAATCATTTCCAAACGGAGTGACTTAGCCTTTACACTTCATTTGTTTTCTTTTGAACTAACATATTATGTGATTCAATGAATAAAGCTGGAGGCAAAATTAAAATTAAATTTTAATTTTGCCTCCAGCAAAAAACATTTGATCGAAAACGTGTCATTATTATTAAATTAACGCGGTTATTATACAGTTTTCTAATACAATTTTTTTTTTCATAAATTGAAAAAAATATATATAGTACACGATAAAGCAAAAATTTTTCTTACCTAATAAATTCATTCAAGTGTGCAGGTGAAATGTGTACGCTTTTAGTACCGAGACAATCGTGTATCGTAACAATTTAATAACGAAAGGAACAAGCATCGGAATTGCGCAACAACGTTTGGTATAGGCATAAAACTCGCGCCGCGCGACCATAAATCCGCGGGCACAATACTCGCTATCAGCGAACTGCTTACAAACACGCGACCGTTCACGTGCATTTAATAACAATAATATCGGGTAACGTAGGTCCGCGACAATGGCCCGCGCCCGCCGTTGCGACATCATTTTTCCCGGTCCAACTTTTCCCATTCGCTATTCATTTGCGTTAGAAGTTGGACGTATGGCCGCCTACGGCTCGACTGTTTTAACTTTACTCCCGATGCAGCGTTCGCGGCAAATTAAATTTCGCTCCGCGCCCCGGCTCCCGCGAAACCCGCACGCGGCCGCCGTAATTATTGCTTTCGAGTTTTTCTCGTCTCGTCCACGCGAACCCTGCTGTCCTGGCGGCTATTTTCATTCGAGAAATTAATCGGTGACATCTTGGTACATGCTTGCTCTACGAAATCGCTGGTATAATACGTATATACATGTTGGGAGTTGGCACAAGTTTTATAATTCTAATAATTTTAAATATATTCAACGCTGCTTCAATATTATAAAGTTCAATAAAGGTAAAATGCTCACCATTCAATATGCTCATTAGATAGATATTTTGGAGTTCCTGCTTAAAACAGGAAAATTACGATAACAAAACTGAACAGTGTACACTGAAAGTAGCATTAAACTGACTTTAAAACTGTGTTCAGCTTATAACTCGGCCAACAGATTAATACTCGCTGGCGGGGAAACCCCTCGCGAAATTGAGGTATCACCGCGAGAGCGAAGCGGGGAAAACTTAGCAAAGCCAAGTCCCATTCAGCGGGCGGCCGTGATTGGAATTGTACTTAATTGGCTAACGTTCTACTAACTGCGCAAGATAACTGCTAACTGCGTACCGCTCTAACGGTCTCTTTAGAAGCTCTTGCAATCCAGTACTATGTTGGAAATAATCCCAGTGTATGTGGGGTGAAAGATTATTTTGGTTTTCTTTCTATCATTACGAAATGATACGTTTTTAGTTACATATACAATAATGTTTAAGTATTGACGTCGTGACGACGTGATTATGTATCTACATAACTTTTATTGTACGTTATGGAAAATATAGCCATTTTTTACTTTGAAATTTAATTAATTATTTGCAACTATAACTAGAATAGAGATAAACATAAATAAAAATGAACGCGTTAACTGTTTCGATATGTTCATGAAATCAAGTAGAGGTTTTCTTTTACCATTCTTGGAACTATATATAGCATTAATTTTAACTGTAGAAAATTTCAAATTTTTCCTGATACACAGAAATTTTAAAAAAATCGCGGTTGATTGACTGACAGGCTGTCAATGCAGTTTAGTATACGTATCGATCTTTTATGATTCAACCCTCTAAGCATCGCTGTTGTCGATACGGGTTTATATTCCTTCACACGGCAGACATCAACAAAGGAATAACGTAAACGAAACGTGACGTGTTTCGTTTCGTAAATCAGAATAGTGTAACGGCGGACATACGCGGCTACCGTCGCGCTCCTCACGTTGATATCTACAATGCCGTTTCGCTAGAATTGAGCACATTAAGAGCTTACGTTTCGTGTCTGCGCGCGTAAGCCGCCCTCGAAAAGATTTGATGGCGGGGTTAGGGATTTATGTCAAGGGCCATACAGGCGGGGATCGGGGGATTTCAACGCTCCAACATCCGACTGTGCCCTTTGTGGCTGAAGCACCACCCGGCTTCACTCCACTCCGCGGCTCTTACTCCTGCTGCCACTTACCTTGTGGGAGATTTCAATTACGGCCCGCGAAAAATCTCCGGCTAGACCGAATGCCGCGCTGAATGGCCGGCCCCGATCTAGACGACGCGGTTGGCCGGCTGCAAGCGGAGACGAAATCGGGAGTCCCCGTTTAGATTTTGCGGCACGGTACTTGAATGCATGATATGGTTCTAAGCGGGTAGTATGAATAAATACCGCTTCCGATGACACGATTGGTGTAGTGAACCTGCCTTTTGCCACAGCGGGGAAAACCAGTACTGAAGAAATATTGTGTGGTGATTAAAGTGTCTGGATATTTTTATATCTATGCATATGTACGGCAGAAATGTTTTTTAAGTCAACTAGCACTCATAGTAGAAGTTTTTTTTCTTCACTTAGTTTGGGACTAGACAGCCTTGTCACACATATCCTGAACATGTCCTGCCCTGAAATATTTATCTATTTGTAACCCTTATGAGACAAATTAAATTAATGGTCTTATTTGAATTCCCAAAATGTGAGCGATGGTGACACTTTCGGCGTGCAATGATTTCAAATACATTCATTGCTGGGTAAGATCTGAACAGCAACGAACGCTGAACTGATTGTCACAGTACTGAGATTTTCACCCACGATCTCATAATGCAATTCCTTTGTGCAAACATCATTGCGTCAATTACATCCTAAATTGAAGCCTGGCTTAGTTTGTAGTGCTGCTACCTTAATCAGAGTGCAGCAGCTCCATCAATAAGGTGTGATTGATTGCGGCCGTATACAGTCAGCGCCGCGGTCAGCTCTCACCACCGTGCCCTATCCATAACGAACTCGACACCGCAATAATAGTCCATCACTCATAACGCAGCCAACTGACAACTGTACGATATACAATTGAAAGTGCCCGATGAAAGTAGACACAAATTTCCTTTGCTGTGAAGGTATAACATTATATTAATAATTGATAATTTTAAATGTTTCATCTTAAGTGCAGAGATTATATGTACTATAAAATTTAATATAACAAATTCAATTTCAATAACAAACGCGTCATCTCTCGTTCGAATTGTCGTTGTAACGAAATTGTAAACGTTATTTAAAATTGTTTAATCGTAAAAAACGTTATTTGAAATTGTTTGTGTGCTACAGAGTGGATAAAAAAACAGATAGAGTAGATAAAAACAGAGTAGATAAAAAAAATGTGTGTTAGCATGGCAATCAGTCGTAGCTTAGTTTTTAAAGCGTCGCGTAGCGTAGTAAATCAATATTTCGAAAAAACATCTGATTTTAATCTGTTTACGGTCGTCAAAGCTTTTACAGTATTCAGAAATTAATGAGTATTTATTTGCCAGCCACTGCCTTGTGTACCTTTTTTATTAAAATAAATGTAAAATGAATTAAAAAAAGCTGCACTAAATGATACATTTTTCAGGCCTCCTTGATTAAAAGCTGGCAACAAATTTGCACCCTTACGGGTGTAGCAAATGTCCATAGGCGGTGGTTATCACTTAACTTTAGGTGAACCGCCAGCTCGCTTGCTTATTCTGACAAAAAAAAATTAAATACTACTAATATTCGTCGAAAATAATAACGAATGAATATTTTAAAGCCGAGTACGACTCAATTTCTCTAAACAAACTCAGCCACGACCACAAAACGCCACTCGACACAGTCCTGATTGATTTAGCGAAATAAAATATTAAGCGCTCACCTTCGGGCGGTTCAATATAGCAAAGCCGAGGTTAAAGTTTATAGACTAGAGGTGCGGGCTTTTGTTTACATTTTAAAATTGCACTTTGCGACGCGGCCGCGACCGAGCTCGACCTTTTCCATAACGCCGAGACACGTTCAAACAATGTAACCGTCGAAAATATGACAACGGAGGTTTGTACGTAGCGCATAGCGTTCTCTTTAATATTTCCAAGCGGCGGGGTATGACTAACGGTTTTAAAGGTAAAGCTCGTACGACTATCGGCCCCAGTGTTGTTTTGAGGTGGAACAAGATATGAACCGTTAAAGTTGCGTTCGTATTTCGATACCTATGAACTACTAATAATTTCAAGTACCATTCGATTGCCGTCAACGGTAAAAAAGCTCATCAGAAAGAGCTAATTAGAACTCATCTAATCGTCAACCTAAGAGTAATTTAATTTGTAAATGTAATTTTTTTTCTATCGTTGCTATAATGAAGTATAACTTCTTGCTTTTGGAAAGCACGCGATGATATAAATGTGTTTAGAACGCATTTAAACACACTCGGGGTACAGACTACAAAATAACTTTTTCATTTCGCGGGTAAACTCTATTCAACATCTTCAAACTTACAATTTCGTCGTGTCCAACACTAGTTGCGGGCTGCGGAGGGTGGGTGCCGCTTAAAATTGCACTTCCCAACAACCCTGTTTGGACCCCTGCAGCCTGTGTCAACAACGCCGTGGAGCGCCCTGCATCATCTCGTTACGTGTCAAACATTTGTTTTGTTAGTGTTGCGGCCGCTTTGCCCACCGTAATCGTGAACACTCGAAACAACACGAACACCTTTGTATGCTACCAGACGCAATGCTTCCCTCACAGTAAAGTAATTTACCAATCGTGACTATAGCGATAACTTCATTTGTTTCGCACAACATAATTTGATGAAATATTTATTCGACCAACTTGACCGCTTCCGTGCGTTACTACAATATCTTTAGCATTTTTCTATATAATTATATTCGTGATCTGATTGCAGCACCGTTTAAGTTTAAAACATTATTATTTATTTTTTCATAAAACAACCCTTTTATGTAATG